ATAGTGATGACTTATTTTACAAGATTTATTTTCAATATTCTAATAATCTGGAATTTCGACACATGTATGGATGTATAAATAATGAAGAGTGCTGTATTACATACATACATAGACACAACAAGGTTTTCGAAGTTCGAAGTTGGCTTTTATAAATGTTAAATGAGTCTGAAATTTAGTTTTTGTTCAGATGACATTAAATAGCACTTCTAATAATCTACTATTTTCGGCAAAATGTGACTTAATATTAAAAAAAAGGGAATAAAAAAAAACAAAAAGAATTATAAAAAATTAATTTGTATAATTGAAATGTTAAAACAACAACATATTTTTATACATTCTATATATATATATCAATTAACATTACATTGATTGGTGGTAAACTGGGGTTGAATAAATCATAATTATGCATCTGTTAACGCACCAGAAATTCTATATATATTTTCTATACTGTAACAAACGATATAAAATCAGTTATTTCTTTCTTTTTATATATAATCGTTTATGGCGATAGACATTTTGTATTTTACATTGATAATAAACTAATGTTTTTGTAAAAAAAAATGTTGTATGACGCTGTTTTTCTTCTTTCGCGTTTTTTACTCTCCTACTAGTTACTGTATTCTTTGTTCAACTCATAAAAGAAGTCTTGCACAATTAATTATTTTACATACGAAATCGAATCTTTTTTTCCAAAGATACCAGTTATTCCTTTTATTTTAATAATAATCATTAAAAAATTCAAGTCACCTTTACATACTGAACGTAGTTGAGAGCTTTTTGAGCGTCATGCAGTTGCGTGTCAGAGTTTATTAGTCTTCTATTTGTCCTGCAAATAGAACCAAACTTCTTGGAGTCCTCGATGTCAGTCTTGTTTTCGAAATATTTACAAATCTGCCTGACGCCCGGCGAAGAATAGGGCAAGTTGGTGAGGTCGTGCATGGACACGGCCCTCTTGCCCATTATAAACCCATTCCTCGCACCTTCCTCGACGCCAAGCGCCTCTCGGCCCAAATTGCACAATGTTTCAAACAATAACAATTTTTCCTTTACTGGTACATAATTCTCAGCGTTTTGACATTTCTTCAGCAAAACATCAAAGGAATACCCTTTGCAATCTGCATTTTTCTTGGGTTGACTATTGTTCCAAACGCTTAAATTGTTGGTGGGGAATATGTGGTGCATTTCTGGGGGGTGGTGTAAATTTGCGGATCTTAGGTAACGGGTATGAGGTGTACTGGGAGGATGTTGAAGAATAAGTGTCCTACCCTGCGTCGTATTTGTTAAAAACTCGGGGGATGTTTTCTTATCTTCACTGATTTTATTTGGAGAGAGTGGCGGGGGTGTGGTAGGCGTTGGTGGGAGAGAAACTGAAGAAGGTGAATGAAGAGAAGGAAATATTAATGGTGGGGGAGAAGGGGGTGGTGAAAGGGGACGTTTAATTGTAGGAGGAGGGGAGGGAGGACGTAGGATAGGGGCGGTTTCTTCTTTGGCGGTACACATGTCACAATGGGCGCTATTTCTCGGCGATGTGCAATTGAAGTTCCAGTCTTTTTCACAGTCTTGAGTTCTTTTTCGATTCCAGCATTCTTGGAGGGTGAGGATGTCCAGGTAGCGGACGGCATCCAGGGGCGTCTGGCGAATGATTTCGATGGCTATTGCTTTTACCCACAGGTCAAACGCAGCTTCGTTTGCGGTCTGAAAAAAAAAAAATAGAACACCTTGCACAAAAAGAATGATAAATTATATATTTAAATACAGAGTACCTACAGCAAATTACAGGAAGAGTGTTTTCGTGTAATATTTCAATCTGATAAGTATCATTAAGCAAATTACTACTATTTTTTTTTTATAATAATAATACANTGATAAGTATCATTAAGCAAATTACTACTATTTTTTTTTTATAATAATAATACATTAATCATACGCGCGTTTTTAGTTGTGTGTACAGAGTCTGTACCTTCGTTATACGTTAAAATGATAGATCTGTAGAGATACAGGAAGCTGCAATATGAATGATATTTATTGTTGGTAGATATATTAATTGGTGTATGTACTCGTGACAATACAAAAAAAATACAAGTTACATTCTTTGGTGACCTCGGTTAGAGAGATTCAATGAGAATTATTTTATTGTTATTAAATTACACGGATATATATATATATATTGTACATATACACAAGTAATAAAAATAATGTGCGCATCTCCCTACATCCTTATTCGTTAGTCAATGCCACTCGAAACATGTACCTTTTTGGTATTTCCTTAGTTTGTTCTATAACTTGCCAATTTAAAGTATAAGTGGTTGTTCATAAAATATGTTGGCATATAAGGGGGAGGATGGGGTATTGCTTAGCTTGACGAGATATGCCGAGAAAGTCTAAGGAAATGTGTCTTTTCCAGTTCATCAATTTTATTTTAATGTTTTTCTTAACTTGGCAGTTCTTAAATTTTTTCATTATGATAGAAAGTCATTTTCATTGCAATTTTTCATCGCAAGAAATCGTTTATGGGCGAGGGGTAGACTAGTATTTGTGACGTAATATTTGTTACGGGGGGGGGGGTTGCTGAAAGAGTGACTTAGCATGACGACGAGGGAGAGAGGGTTCCAAAAAGATGAAATTGAATCAAGCATCCCTTAAATAAAACCAAATTGAAATCAACAAAAACAAGATCGAAATAATACAGCAAAACTTCTTCGTAACGAATAATTTCTGTAAACAAATATTAAAATGTTTGTTATTCATACCTGAAGAGTGAGAACGACGTTTTGACCTTTATACATCGCCAGACTGTTGGGCAAAGGTCCAGCCTCTAGACTAAGATGCCTTAGGGGTATTCTGAAGCTTTTGATGGGTGTATCCCCCGAGGCGTTTCCGACGAAAAGTTGTCCAGCCCTGACCTGCACTCTTCTCGGCCACCATCTTTTTTCCGTGGCACACAAAACCAACAATTCACCTGAAACAAAAGAAAAATTCAATTTAGTAAAATCATTCAAAAGGAAACGTGTATTTGACAAAATTACATAATTATTCTAATTTAGCAGACTTAATTAGTAATTATGCACTCGTTAACATGCATTTATACAAGAATTAAGTTTATTACAAGTATGCGTTATTGATTATTGTTTTTGTTTGTAGTGGTACTTAACTTTTGAAAACAACAAACCAATTCACTAATTGTTAATTAAACATATTATAGCTTACAGTGTAATGTCATGTATTAATTAACGAAACTCGGTGCATTTTATTCTTTCTTAAATACTGATTGTAAAAATTCAAAGAATTAATTTTAAAAAACTTGGAAGCACGTAAAAAGTAGTCAGAAATTTACATATTTTGTTAAATTTCAAAGAATGCCTTCAACAGTTAATATTAAATAACAAAATGATTAAATCATCNTTATTTGCAAAGTGGGTTACTACAATGCAGCATTATAATAATACAGCGCATCATGGACTACATTCTCTATTCAGTTGTTTCTACCGACTTTTCACTTCGTTGCTTCCTAATTTCGTGGCATTCAGGCGTCATGAATACAATAATTATCTATAATTATTTTTAGATTCATGGTGTTGATGCTTCAATATACAAATTATTGTACATATGTATGTATACCCATGTATTAAGTATATTAATGAATTTTTAATCGCCGCCATTAATATGTTTGGGGTTCATAAATTTATAAGAAAAGAGACCAGGAAAAACACCAAAAAAATACGAAAATATTGTGTTTCAGATTTTAATAAGTAGATACAATAACTATGTTTCTAACACTATCATATTAAAGTGAATTAATTTTTAAAAATGTCTCATTGTTAATAAGGATTATACATTTAGTTTGACGAAACTGACGAAACCCCTATTCCCAGTATTCCTAAAAGGAGGCTGATTCCAACCGCAGTTTCGGTAAATGATTATCACTACAACTGCAATAATAAGGAATCAGGGACGAAAAAATACACAAAAAGGTATTGAAACAAGAGCCTGTAATAATGGCAATAATTTATAGATAAGTTGGTTTGTTGTAAATTGTAAAACACCATAGTTTAGTAACCACAAAAGGTAAGGCAAATTTTATACGAAAAATTCATAATTTTCAAATAATTACACTGAAATCTAATTTAATTTTTCTAATGGATTTATAACTACATCCTTAATTTTTTATATTATGAATCACCCTGTATAAGGACGCATTACTCCTTTTGGGTGGTCAAAACGTGAATCCTTATTTCAAACTACAACAAACTCTAAAAACAATGTGACAAATATTTATTAAGCATGAAATTCCGTCATGCTTTAATTTTCTGTGACAAATCTTTCACAATAACATTGTCATTCCTCAAAAAATATCGAATTTCAAAAAAGACCTTCCTAGTCAATCGGAACAAAGGACCCATATGGGATTACATACACGTCTGTCCAATGTGCATAAGTGTAATATCTTAATGTTTTTCTGTGACATTTAAGTGTGCCAATCTGAAGCGGTTTTGTGTTGGAAGGATCGGTTTTTGTCTCTTTCTCATCAAAACCGTCGAAACATGTGTTAAGAATGGTCCGTTGCTTGTTGGCAGATGTAGAGTGGTAGTGATTAATGAATAATGGTGCAAGTTGAATTATTATTACACATCACTGGACAACAAGACCATTTAGTTCAGAAAATTACTGTCTGTACTGCTTTCAAGTGCTTATTAAAGTAATAAGAACAAAAAAATATAACGAAGAGAACGAAAGTTGCTACTTGCTATGCATTATAACATGTCACGTCAAGTTGTTTCGAATAGCTATTGTGAAGGGAGGCAGACTCCGTAGAACACTTGATTAAAAAAAGGGAAATTTATCAAGATAGAAAACGAATGCTATTTTGTAAGGAATGTGAAAAGGCACAATATAACCAGCAGTAGTTTGTCACATGCACTTTTTTCCTATTGAATATAACTTAAAAAATAGAACAAACATAATAGCTCAAACCCTAACGCCAAAACACGACTCTTTAGTTGTCTGAAGCACTTTTCGGTAACAAGGTTACCTTCTTCGAACAGTTCGAAGAGTCTGCTTCAGTCCCTGAAGAAGATAACCTTGTTACCTAAAAGTGCTTCGGACAACTAAAGACAGGGTTGCCACCTTTTCGGGTTTTACATAAAGTATTTCTCGACTAAATGGTTAAAAAAAAAGTACTCAGGATAAAAATATTAAAGACGCTCATAATTAGGGTTGCCACCTTTTCAGGCTTTACATAAAGTATTTCTCAACTAAATGGTTAAAAAAAAAGTACTCAGCATAAAAATAAAGTATTTTATTTTTTGTTTTTAAAAACATATTTTTTGTTACAGTAACAAATTGGTGTCGCTCTTAAATACATTAATAGCCTCTAAACATGGCAAACAAAGATTTAAGTAAACTAAAAGTCCATTTTTAATTAGTTTTAATGAAACTTTATTTCTGTCGTCCCGCCACTGCGTTCATAACAGAGAATACTCTTTCTGTAAATGTTGAAGTGGCCGGAACGGACAGCAAAAGTGACATTACTTGGAACAGATTTGGGAAATCAGGTTGTTTCGTAAATATGGCTTGACATTTTTCTGTGCAATATTATTGATGTAAAAATACTCTGAATTTCGAATAATCGCTTACAAAATTACGATGTTTACTTAAGGCCTTAAATAAAGTACCTACTTTATATGTCTTATAAAATATAACGTACGCACAGTCGAAATAGAGTACAATACTTTATAATAAAGTACGGGTGGCAACCCTAACTAAAGTGTCTGTTTTGGCGTTGGGGTTTGAGCTATTTTGTTTGTTCTACAACAACCGCCAAAGTTTTTCCAATCTTCATATAACTTAAAAAATGTTTATAGAGAAACAGTTAACAGTTTTAGCGAATATAAAATTGACAGAGTCGATATGTTAGGTTGAATCAGATCAGTGGCTGTTACATGATTTAATCCCAATTTATCGACCCCTCTCTTGATTTACAGCAACTGTATAGTTTACAATTAGTGCTCAAATAATAAGAATTTCCCAAAAACTTCAAATAATTATCATTTTCAATTCGATAAACTCACATTTCTCGCTAATAATACAAACGAACCTTGACCTAATGAGTGTTAATTTTGAACGTAACAATACATATATTTATCTGATGTGATAAATCCAAAACATCAAGTCATTGCCATACGACACATGTTGAGTTTGTATAAATATAAAATTCTGTTGATTCTGTGTATAACAGTGTTCAATCAACAATTTTTTGAAATCAATAAATGTTTATTGAAGTTCCGGTAGCTTGATTCTAAGAGACTATAAAAAACACAGGATTTTCACGAAATTGCTGTAATTAAAGATAAATTTTAACAAAGAAAATTGGAAATAAAGAGATTGGAGTTGGAGATATACAACATAAACTTATAAAAAGATGTCAGTTGTTCCGAGTCTCTAACTAAGGATGAAACGCGTGTTAGGATTTTAAACGTTTGATGTCGAATTTTATGTATTTTATCTATTTCAGTTCCACAGAACTCTATTTGATTTTCTTGTATATTTATAGATGTTAATTAATGATGCTTATTATCAATTTAATCTAGTCCACAAAATGAGTGGACCAATTCCAAAACCCCTTCAGCCCGGCAATCTAAAATGCCAACATGGGATGACAAGTCGAATGTCGGAAAATAACCAAATCGTTAAGTACTTTACCAGTATTGGACTTTTCACTTTCGCCTACAACCCTCTGGGGCGCAGGCGTGGGAACCACCTCCATACCCCCCCCCTAATCACCAATTATCGCTTTTTTGTGACAAATACGAAAAGCTATTAGGCTTGGGGTGAAACAGATACCAAAATATGTCACAAAACTGTTAGCTATTAAGTACTCCTTTTTTGTTAATATCAAACAGGAAATGCGAAATGGTCGGCGGCTTGTTAAAAAATAGCTATATTGTTAATTTAAATCCTTATTTGCAAAGTGGGTTACTACAATGCAGCATTATAATAATACAGCGCATCATGGACTACATTCTCTATTCAGTTGTTTCTACCGACTTTTCACTTCGTTGCTTCCTAATTTCGTGGCATTCAGGCGTCATGAATACAATAATTATCTATAATTATTTTTAGATTCATGGTGTTGATGCTTCAATATACAAATTATTGTACATATGTATGTATACCCATGTATTAAGTATATTAATGAATTTTTAATCGCCGCCATTAATATGTTTGGGGTTCATAAATTTATAAGAAAAGAGACCAGGAAAAACACCAAAAAAATACGAAAATATTGTGTTTCAGATTTTAATAAGTAGATACAATAACTATGTTTCTAACACTATCATATTAAAGTGAATTAATTTTTAAAAATGTCTCATTGTTAATAAGGATTATACATTTAGTTTGACGAAACTGACGAAACCCCTATTCCCAGTATTCCTAAAAGGAGGCTGATTCCAACCGCAGTTTCGGTAAATGATTATCACTACAACTGCAATAATAAGGAATCAGGGACGAAAAAATACACAAAAAGGTATTGAAACAAGAGCCTGTAATAATGGCAATAATTTATAGATAAGTTGGTTTGTTGTAAATTGTAAAACACCAAACAAACGTTATCATTTTAACGACGGTTGAATTGATACATGTTTCTAATATTAAAGGCAGTTATGTAAACGGCTCATTTGTTGTAATTTTAGAACGACTGTTTCATTTTGTTATAAACAAGTGCCTAATAAATCGATTAATGAATGATACTGTTGGAAATCAAACCAAACAGTTTAACAATCAATTAAATGCCATCCATATTACTGACATTACACATAATTATTAGTTTCATTAGTTGTGATTTAACCCTATGCGTTTAACATCAACTTAAGGATGTTTGGGAGGTAGTATCGGAGACAAGAGTACATAAAATTAGAAATTCGTGATTAATTAGGTTTTGCAGCATATTATGAGGTAAAT